TTTTCTTTTTGTGTTTTTTCTGTAACAAAACTAATAAATATATATATATATATATATATATAAAAGAAGATAACTGAATATCCTGGCTCTGCATTTAACTATTCTGCATCAAATCTCAGCAACTGCAGTCCGAAGCATTCCTGCTGCTAGGATGGATGATGTCCATAAATTGTAAGAGAGTTCTTACCGATCTTCACACACAAACACACACACACACACACACACACACACACAAAAAAAACTCCCAAATCCACTTGGTGAAGGATGCAGCCCAACCCATTGGGAGACACCAGAAGAAGACATCCCGCTAGTGCCAGACTTACAGGTATACGGCCCCTTGACCGGAACGCAGCCACTTTCTTCAACTCCTCATCTGGAATATTGGCTGGAACTACCAGAAGGGCAGGGTAGGTATCACAAAGCTCGTATTGTTCATTGAGGCTAGTCATTCTCCAACTTTCATTAGGAATGCCCTTCATAGGAAAGAAAAGCTGTTCAGGAGATGTTAATAGGGGAAGGGAAGGGAGCAATGAGAGGAGAAGGGAGAGATGAGAGGAGAAAGGGGAGAAGGGAGGAGAGAAGAGGGGAGAAGGGAGAGGAGAAGGGAGGGGAGGAGAGAAATGAGAGGGGAGGAGAGAAGAAGTGAGAGGAGAGAGGAGAAGGGAGGGGAAGAGAGAAATGAGAGGAGAGAGAGAAGGGAGTGGAGAAGGGAGAGGAAGGGGGAAATGAGAGGAGAGAGGAGAAGGGAGAGGAGGGGAGAGGAGAGCCTCTCTCTGGATACCAATCTCTAAAAATCAGATATTTACAGAACGTGGACAAAACAAATCCATTTCACTGTCCACTTCACAGAGCAGATTTGTCTTTCTACCAGTTTTACTTCCCAGATTTTTAATAAGCAACAGCGGGGGGGGGGATCACCTTGTGCTTATAAAGACAGCAGATTGCTTTGTAAATATACAAGATGGCCTTTTATTTCATTTTTTTTTGATCCACAAAAATGTTTCACGTCCTCTGCAGTGCTAGTCATTCTGCAAACGCAGCATTGTTGCTGCAGTTTTTTTCCTGGATAACCACGTGATATGCTATGACTTAGATTAATCTGGCCCAGACACACTTATTACGTGGGAATCGTTTTTATTTGATTACCCCACTAGACCAACGTTTCCCAACCTTAGCTGCTTTAAGATGTGTGAACTTCAACTCCCAGAATTCTCAAGCCCTGCATTAGAAGTTCTTCCAGCCAGTAAGTTTGTAATAAGATAAATTTGGCTGATTTTCAGCAAAACCTGAAAATCAGAGGCGGAAGAGTGAGACTCACCTGTCTTCTGTACTCCAAAATCGGATCATAAACGTTCCAGCCATTTTCGGGGAAAACTTCTTTATACTCAAATGCGAACAGAGGCTTAAAAAAATGGAAAGATTCTTTAGCAATGCATGTTTCATTTTTATATGTAATTCCAAATAACTACTGTGTTTTCCTGAAAATAAGACAGGGTCTTATTTTCTTTTGAACCCCTCGAAATAAGCACTTGGCTTTATTTTCGGGGAGGTCTTATCATTTTTGAGGTGCAGGAAGCGTCGAGTGTGGTCACCCCACGGCTTGCGGCTGTGTTGCAATATTTTTGGAGAGGGCTTATTTTCAGGGGAGGGCTTATTTTAGCACATGTGCTCAAAAGCCCGATTGGGCTTATTATCCAAGGAGGTTTTATTTTCAGGGAAACAGGGTATTCCCATGTAGCATTTTTTTGTTTGTGTACCTTAATAAAAGCACAAAAGAAAGGCAGAGAGCCCCAGAACGTACATCTGTTATAGGAAGCAGATCAATATATGTTTCTCCACATTCCTTTATTTTCTGATCTATGAAAGTGCCAAGAAACTGGTAGGGAAGAAATAAACGGTTCTTAAGGTGAAACTTAATAAGAACGGTTTTTCAAAGCAGCATTATAGGACTGCATTTCGCTTTCTTAGAGTTGCACAGGATTGCCAGCCTCTGTAAATGATGGTTTCCAGATGGCGTTTTGTTTGTTTAGAGTGACATGGAACTTAATGCTAATTGTGGGATCTATAACTAGGGAACAATCAACTGTTCCCATTTAGATTAGTGCACAGTGATGAATAAGGCACAACCCCTCCCAAAGTTTTAATGCATGCCATGGCACATAAATCTTCACTGTCCACTTTCTCTTTTGCTTCATCAGGAGGAGGATTCGGCAAAGAATATTCTTGACCATAAAAACTCACAAATTAAAGAGTATCACAGGTCCCAACCAGAGGTGGTATTCAGCCAGTTCAGACTGATTCACTCAAACCGGTAGTGAAAATCACAGGTTGGCCCACCCTGACTCTATGCCACCCTATTTAGGCACGTTTTCAAGTCAAAGTGAATGCATGGAAGGCTGATTTTCAGCCTCTGCACTTCCAATTTTCGGCCTCTGTGCATCCTGTTTTTGGCCTCTGCGAAGAAGGCTGAAAACGGGACACACAGAGGCTGAAAATGGGACACGCGGAGGCCAAAAACGAGCCACGTAGAGGCACAAAACGGGGCATGTGGAGGCCAAAAACGGGCTGTGTGGAGGCTGAAAACAGGGCATATGGGATTAAAAATGGGGTGCGCAGAGGCTAAAAAAGGGCTGTGTGGAGGCCAAAAACGGGGTGTGTGGAGGCTGAAAACAGGGCATATGGGATTAAAAATGGGGTGCGCAGAGGCTAAAAAAGGGCTGTGTGGAGGCCAAAAACGGGGTGTGTGG